TCTAGTCAGTATTCCCCCAAAAGTGCAATGATTTCCAGTTATTCCACCTTTTCAACAAGTTTAAAAATCACTAACCGAGGCAGTGATGGCACACACCTTTAATCCGAGCACTTGGGAGGCAGAGGTAGGAAATCTCTGGGTTCAAGGCCAGCCCAGTCTACAGAACAGCCAGGACCACCCAGAGAAACCTTGTCTCAAAAAACGAACAAACAATTAACACTGCCCCACTTCCTTGGGCATGAGTGTTGCCTGAGTCTCTCAGCCTCCCAAAGAGCCACTTCAGCACCTTGCTGTGTCAAGAGAAATGGTCAGTAACACTGTACCTGGTACATTTGCACTCATCTTGATGTCCAGTCTCTTAGCGGGATTTTCTGCCCTTTCTGACTTTCCTGACTTTCCTGACTTTCCTGACTTTTCTGGCTTTGCTGGCTTGGCTGGCTTGGCTGGCTTGGCCGGCTGACGTTTTAAAGCGTGGTTGTTTTCACATTCAACAGTTTTCCCTTCAGGTTTTTTCTTCACATCTGGATCTATGTGAATATGAGACATTATGATTATCCATGAAGCAAATAAGAAATTACACCTACAAAAATCATTAGAATCCTAGCACTTGGGAGGCAGAGAGAGGCAGGCAGATCTTGGTGAGTCCCCAAGCCTAGTCTACATTGCAAGTTCCAGACCATCCAGGAGACCATCAACAGTGAGAGCCTGTTTCAAAACAAAATTGATAAAGATCTTGATAAGAACTACTGATGGGTTCTAAAATTGTGGGTAAGGGTGTAAAGAAGAAACAGGAAGAGATGGAGAAATACTCAGTGGCAAGGCACTCCTAACATGGGCGAGTCCCTGGTTCAAACCCCAGTACTGAAAGGGAAGAGCGTTAGTACACTTAAAAATATTCCCCCAAGCCAGCAGTCCCAGGTCCCTGGAGCAAGCACATCATGTGAGTTTAGAGGTTTGACACCAACCTGGGTATTGTACAACACTGCAAGAAAATTTATAAAATTATATTAAAAAAAGAGGGAAAAATGAAAAAAAAAAAACTTAAAATCTCCCCACACAAAAGGAAAACCACTGTCATGACTAACACTACATGTTAACTCCGCAAGGCCCCAACGCTGAGGTCTCTGAAGAGACCCTGTTGTAGGTGTTCCTAGGAAGCATGTTTTAGGCGTAATCAGCAGCTCCAGACACCGGCTCTGTGCTCCGTCACACTGAGGAGCACCACCCAGGCTAACGGGAAAAGACTGGCCTCCTTGAAAAGGTTTTCCCAGCAGTCTATCTCTGGACACGAAACTTTAAATTACGCCCTGTTGGCCCATCTACCCTTGCGAATTCTGAGCTTGTCATCTTCACACCTCGCCAAGTCAACTCCTCGACATAAATGTCTTTACACATACAGGCATTTACACACTCACTTTTGCTTTTGGCTTTGTGGAGAAGCCCACCATACTAACTTCGTGTGCAGGCGCCTGTGCATACCACTCTAACCAAGGGACCGAGGCAAACTGACCTCACGAACTTCTTGGCGTGGTGTCATACACTAGAGAGCAACTAGGAAGAAAACTGAAGTCATGAACTGCTTGGTGTACCATATCATTTCTTGTATTCTTAACAAAAATTGTTCACTCCAATCACACCAAAGCATTGGACAAGACCAAACCAGTAGCATTCCACAAAATAATCAGCAATTTTTCAAAAATGTCAGGTTTATTTTTTTATTTTTGTTTTTTTTGAGACAGGATTTCTTTGTGTAGCCCTGGCTATCCTGGACTTGATTCACAGACCAGGCTGGCCCCAAACTCACAGAGATCCGCCTGCCTCTGCCTCCCTGAGTGCTGGGATTACATGTGTGCACCATCAACCCTGGGTAAGTTAACTTTTACAACCAAAGTCTCCCACGCTCAAAGGAAGACAGCAACTGTCTGATTAATTTTACTTGTTAACTTGCTGAGGAAAGGTAGCTCAGATATCTAAATACTTGCTGCGCACCTGAGTTCTATCCCTAGCATCCTTCCCACTGAGGAGGCAAGACATGATTGATGTGCTTCAGGCCAAAGAGATCTCTATCTCAAAGGAGGGAGACTAGCATTTCTGAGGATCAAGGTTGTCCTCTGGCTCTGTGCGAACACACACATGCACCTGCACACACATGAACAGACACAAATGTGTATGTACACATGCTCAAGCATTTATTTAAAATGTTAAGGAAAGACTGAGAAACTGATTACAGAACAGAAGAGATCAAATCAAGAAATAAATGGACAGTAGAATCCTGGACAAGGTCTGACAGCAAATAAAAAAAAATGGACACAGTGGTAAAACTTGTGAAACCTGAGCAAGCTCTTTAATTGACTTAACAGTATTATACTATGGTTAGTTTCCTATTCTTGGTAATTATACCATCATTATACAAGATGATAAAAAAATCAGCTAAGTGTATAAAGAGCTTTTTGTACCATTTCCATAAATTTTCTGTAAGTTTAAAATATGCTCTGATTTCTTCTAAAAATTAAAAACTATGTGTGTACATACTTAAAAAATTTAAAGATTTTATTCTAGCAAAATAAAAAACATAATTAGGTTGAAATAAAATTGGTTACTTGACAAGTAGATGCTCTGGAGAAGAAAATTCTCATGCTGTATCTTGATCACTAACTCTTACACTAATACAGTTCTTCAACAAGGTGTTTGGCTATTGTCTTTGACTTTTTAAAAAACTTAGAATATAACATAATGGGCACAGGATTTTCATAGATAAGACAGACAGACAGACAGATAGCTAGACAGACAGACAGACAGACTGATTGATGATTGACTGATTGACTCATCTTTTGTTTTTGTGGGCTGTTTGTTCTGGTAGGTGCTGGGGATCAGACCCAGGGCCTTGTAATACCAGGTACATAGTCTACCACTAAGCTACACCTCCAGTCCAAAAGACATTTTAAAGAGAAGACCCAAGCAAAATTTCTAAAACCAAGCATTAAAGCAATTTTCAACACAAAACAGTAACTTGAAAATCTGAAGAGTCAATGTTATAAAGGGGAGGGAGTATTCCACTGCTGATAAGAATTTAATTTTCCTGAGAGTTGAATGACTTCAGATGTTTTGGATTTCTAAATTTCTACTGGTAACATAGTCAATTCTTACAGCTACTCTAACTGTATAAGATAGGTGGGCAATACTTACTTTGTTAAGGGAATTTTTAGAGCCTTTCTCATATATGCACTGAATGCTGTAAGTCAGAATACGGATCAAAGAAAACACTTTAAAATGTACAGATTATTAGTGTCTTATGCCATTCACTTTGATTTTTAACAATTAAAATACTTGCTTCTATTAAAAAATAGTAGAAGTGATCTGAAAACACACACACCACTATCAACTTCTATGTCCAAAATAACTACTTTTCTATAAATAACCCTCTTTTAAAAAATTCTGTAAGCTACAGGATGCTTATAATTCTTTCTCCTCCAAACTGAAAATAATTACCAGTAGTGACAAAAAGTAACTTAAACACAGCAGGCTAAATGGTAAGTGGAGTTCTTTTTCTAAAAAGGCCTTTGTGGCGAGGGGCAAGCACAGCAAAGCAAGTGAAGGGGATGGGAGGCCTTGTGCCATCACAGACCCAGCAGTTCAGTAACACTGCTAAAGCTCTAAATGTTTAAATTTCTAGGTAAAAAGTTATTCCTTCACTTAGATGGGTGAATAATTATGGTGTGTGAATTATATTTCAATTTAAAAGTATATTTCAAAGTTAAATTCTATATTCTAATATTAGTCAAAATACTTCTGAGTTCTTTTCTGATGAGCCCTAGATTTGTTTACGACTATTATCTAATTTATATATCCAATTCATGGGGAGCTCATGATACCTTAACAACATACAAATGGAACATATTTTAGATTCAGGTTCTTTCTCCCCATCATTCTACATTCCAAGAGTATAATCCACAGAGAAACCTTGTAGAAAAGAAATTGCTGGAACTCCATGAATAAGTGAACTTCCAAGAGAAATTTATTCTATGATACAGAATCCATAAACCTCGCCATGCATGGTAGTTACACACCTTTAATATCAGTACTCATGAGGCAGAGGCAGGCGGGTCTACACAGCAAGTGTGAGAATAGCTATGGCTACACAGAGAAACCCTGTCTCAAAAACAAACAGACAAACCACCTAAAAAAGAAGAAACTAGAATATAGATTTTCATGTGTAATCTCAATTATATTATCGTATGAAAATTTAAGTACTCCAAATCAGAGGAACACAAAGAGTGTCACTCAGCCTTACCTGGCTCCGTTACCTCAGACTTCTGTATCAGAGCATCTCTTATTTTCTCCACCCACAGGTAAAGAATACATTCACCGATATTCTGTCTAAATAAAACCAGGGAGAAAACTCATTATTTCAAAAATTTATGAACTCAAATTCAAGACATTTATTTATATTTCTAACCCAAGACATTAGAATAAAATCCAACCTTTTCCAAACATATAATAGATAAAATTTATCAGTACTTATGTCTGAATAATATATATTGTGTATACCAACATTAAAGCTTCCAAATGGCTCCTTAATTAATACATCTTACTTAAAATTTAAATTAAGGAGAACAAGTACATCCCATGAAGGGAAAGAAAATGTATAAGTCTGAGCTACACAAATGATATAAGTGTAGAAATGATTTGTTTCTATCCATGGGTGGTTTCAGGATTTGTGTCTAATCACCACTTTTTTCTGGATTTTTTGAACAATTCAATTTACTTGTTTGGCACACAAATCTCTCAACAAGGCATGTAAAGAATACATCGGGACTCAGGAATTTAGTCTAAAATCTAAAAGGCATGGAACTCAACAGTTTTATATCCATAACACATTTTTAAACAAATATTCTACTGTATAATTGATTCATTTTGGCTTCAAATAATGTATGGCTGCCTCAGATAATAAACTCATCTCAAATCACTGAGTAAAATAATGTGTTAAGAGTCACAAAGTTGTGCTCGCTTCTGAGGCACCTATAAAAATGGGAATACAGAGAAGATTATCATGGCCCCTGCACAAGGATGACATGCAAATTCATGAAGCATTTTATATAGTTAAAGATGCTGAGACCCACAGCTAAACATTAGGCCAAGCTCGGGGAGTCTTGTCAAAGAGTGCAGGGAAGAATAGAAGGATGGGAGGGAGGGGAGGCAAAAACCCCACCAGAAGACCAACAGAGTCGACTAAGCTAGGCCTTTGGGGGCTCAGAGACTGAAGCACCAACCAAAGAGCAGGCATGGACAAAACCTAGGTCCCATCACATATGTAACTGATGAGCAGCTTGGTCTTCTTGTGGGTGCCCTAGCAAGTAGTGCCGGGGCTGACCTGACATGGACTCGGCTGCCTGCTTTTACATCACTTGCCCCTATCTGTGCTGCCTTCTCTGATCTCAGTGAAGTATTATGCACTTAGTCCTGATGAAATTATATGTGCCAAGGAGGGCTGGTAAAGGGGGAGAGGACTCCCCTTTTCTGAGGAGAAAGAAAGGAGAGAGGAAAGGGCAAAGAGGATGAGAGGGTGAAACTGGGAGAGGAGGCAGGGGGTGAGTTCAGGATATGAAATGAATAAATAAAGTTTAAAAATTTTAAATGATACACAACATGTACACATATACATGCATACATAGTACATACACATGTCAATGAATGCTAAAGTTTGTTATGTGTATTTAGACTGTGCACAGTTCAAATAAAATTTTCATTAGCCATTAACTTTGTATTGTACATAAATATACCACTGATTTCTAAAACTATGTCTGGGAACTAATTTTTCTTATTTGATTCTTTCAATTTTGTCAAAGCCACTTGCTTTAAATAGCAGAAATGGCTATGTCCTGTACATATGAACTTATTAATTAGTTGTTAGCTAAGGTAAGTGTGGAGGCTCTTGAGAGATAAATATTTCAAAGTACCAACTGAATCTTGTTATATTTTGTTACATATACAATATAGAGGTCACTTTAAGAAAGGTTTTTAGAAGTCTTTTAACAGAATTCTTTAGGAATTTATACATGTATTTATCCACCAGCACTTCTGCCTATGGATATAACAGGGATATTTCACTCATGAACCCAAAAAACTAGTCTCTTAATATTCATTTATAATAGAAAGATAATAGGATAGAAATATAATAGAAAGAATAATTAGGTAGTATGATTTATTATCATCAAGAATCACTGTTTGCAAGTATATTTAAAACAGAGAAAGCTAAAAAAGAACTACCCTTAAATTCCTGGTTTGAAAACTATTTTCAGATTGGTTTAGGATCAACATAAAATATAAAAATGAACTGGTTACTCACTTAGTAGTAACAGCATTAGTTCCTCATTATTTATGCTTAATTTTATAGCATTTTATTGCTAATGTGCTGTGTAAGTACTAATTTTACAATTGTGAATTTAAATAGTAGTAATTGTGTATAATGATAAAATGGCCAATACCAAACATTGTGTTTTAAGTTGCTGATGTTAACAGAACTATATATTAGTTGTAAAGTGTAATATGTTATCATTTAATATATAGTTACCTTGGCAATCTACATGAGAGCTAAAATTAACTTTTAACATTACTAGCATGTACAGTTTATTTAAAAACTAGTTCATGAAAAGTCCAATGATTTGTAGCAGTGTCCCTAAATAAATCAGTTTAAATATGTATTATATTATAAAATAATACTTAAAAGCAAATTATATTCACTTTATAATAAACTGAAGTAGAATTTAAAAAGAGTTACAGATTCCAAGATGGTGAAGAAGGTGAACAGAGAATACAGACCAATCATGGAGTCCTGCTGCAGACACCAAATCACCACCATCTGTGCTTCCTGGACAAAAAGTCCCAAACCCCCACGGACAACTGCCCGGCCCAAGGCATACACAGTCACCCAGCCAGCACCTTCTGCCTACCCAAACACAACTCCAGAATACCAGGGACACATGACTCCATACACCAGTCACCTCTTGCTTCCCAGGACAGTGAAGCCTCCAGACACCAGGGACACAATCTCCAGCCTTGGGCCCATGGTTCTACCTGTCTTCCTGTATGGACCACATAGACAACAGGGGCATACAAAATCTGGTTCCAAGATGGCAGAGCCCAGCACCTAAAGAAACTGAGTAGCTACCCAGAGAGCAAGAACTGTTAGCAAGCATCTGTCAGTACTGCTGACTCTGAAACACCAACATCTGTTAGTGTTTCCCTGAAGAGGAGATCCTGGCAGCCAGAAACACAGGGATCTCTGCTCAGACCTCCAAGCTAACCCACCCAATCAAGGATGACTCCAGATTCCAGAGACAGGCAGATCCAGTATACGGTTCACAGCCCTATCAGCTGCCCTGAGCAGACACAGCGGACCTCAGGTTCACACACACTGCCACACCCTAATCCCCCTGCCTATAGATCCAACTGGGACAAAACCACAAGAGAAAAGCTGCAGGCATGTCAAAGAATCCAGCCCCTAGCACACAACCCAGAAAAGGCTTCTCCCACATGCCTGAAAATCCAGGCTGGCTCCAGGAACAACCAGCCAATGCCAGTGACAACCAGATGGCTAAAGGCCAGCTTTAGAACACAATCACCAAAAACTGGGACCCACAACAAACACTGGGTATCTAACGCAGGTGAAACACAGGAGACCTTAAATCTATGCTTATGAAGATATCAGGGGACTTTAAAGAGGAGATAAATAACTCCCTCAAAGAAATACAGGAAAATACAGTCAAACAGATAAAGGCCTTCAAAGACAGAGAGGAAACACAATCAAACAGGTGAGGGAAATAAATAAAATGGTTCAAGACCTGAACATGGAAATAGAGTCAATAAACAAAACACAAACTGAGAAAATCCTGGAAATGGAAAACTTAGGAAAGAGAACAGAAGCTACTGAGGGGCAAGCCACCAACAGAATACAAGAGGTGGAGGAAAGGATCTCGAGTGCAGAAGATACAATTGAAGAAATCAATACATCTGTGGAAAAAAATGTTAAATGAAAAAAAAAAAAATCCTCACACAAAACATCTAAGAAATAAAGGACACGATGAAAAGACAAAAACCTAAGAGTATTAGGAATAGAAGAAAAAGAAGAGGCCAGGCTCCACGGACCAGGCATGTTTTCAACAAAATCATAGAAGAAAATTTCCCCAACCTAAAGAAAGAAATGCTTTAAACATACAAGAGGCTTAGAACACCAAACAGATTAGACAAAAAAAAAAAAAAAAAAATTCCTCTCACCATATAACAATCAAAACACTAAATGTACAGAGCAAAGAAAAAATATTAAAAGCCACAAGAGAAAAATGTCAAGTAACATATAGGCAGACTGATCAGAATCACTCCAGACTTCTCAACAGAGACAATGAAAGCCAGAAGGGCCTGGACAGATGTCATGTAGACCCTAAGAGAACAGAGATGTCAGGCTATTACATATCAGACTATTACACCAGGCAAATCTTTCAATCACCATAGAGAAAAAAATATGTAACATGACAAAACTAAATTTAAAGAATATCTATGCACAAAGCTAGCCCTTCAGAAGAGTCACTAGAAGGAAAACTCCAACCCAAGGAGGTTAACTACACCTAAAAAACACAGGATATAAATAACTTCACCGCAACGAAACCAAGAGAAGACAAGCGCACAAACACAACCACAAACACCATTAAAATAAAAGAACTAACAATCATTGGTCATTAATACCTCTCAACATCAATGCATTCAACTCTCCAAAAACCAGACACAGACTAACAGAATGAATACATAAACAGAACCCAACATTCTACTGCATACAAGAAACATACCTCAGCAACAAAGATAAGAGTTTTCCTCAGAGTAAAGGGCAGGAAAAAGGTTTTCCAAACCAGTCGACCCAAGAAACAAGGCAGAGTAGCCATCATAATAGCTAAAAAAATAGACTTTCAACCAAAATTAATCAAAAGAGATGGGGAAAGTCACTTCATTCTGATCAAAGGAAAAAAATCCACCAAGAGGACATCTCAATTCTGAACATCTATGCCCCAAATACAAGGGCACCCATATTTGTTTAAAAATTATTAAAGCTTTAAAACACACTTCAATCCCCACACATTAATAGTGGGAGACACCAATAACCCTATCTCACCAATGGCAAATCACTGAGAAAGAAACTAAATAGAGAAATAATAAAACTAAAAGATCTATAGAACTTTTCACCCAAACACAAAAAAATGTATCTTCTTCTCAGCAACCCACGGAACCTTTTCCGAAATTGACCATATAGTTGGTCACAAAGCAAGCCTCAACTCACACAAGAAATTTGAATTAACCTATTATATCTTATCAGATCACCATGGATTAAAGCTGGCTTTCAACAATAGAAATAACAAAAAAAGCCTACACACTCATGGAAACTGAACAACTCCCTACTTAATGACCACTGGGTCAGGGGTGAAATTAAGAAAGAAATTAAAAACCTCCTAAAATTCAATGAAAATGAAAACAACATATCCAAACTTATGGGACATGATGAAAACATTGCTAAAAGGAAAGCACTAAGAGCCTTCATAAAGAAATTAGAGAGAACTCATACTAGCAACTTAAAAGCTACCCTGAAAACTCTATAAAATAAGGAAGCAAACAAACCCAAAAGGAGTAGATGGCAGAAAATAAACTCAGGGCTAAAATCAATAAATTAGAAACAAAAAGAATAGACAGAATCAACAAAACCAGGAGCTGGTTCCTTGAGAAAATCAAGAGAGAGAAACCCTTAGCCAAACTAACTAAAAGGCCGAGAGACAGTATCCAAATTAACAAACTCAGAAATAAAAAGGGAGACATTAACAACAGACACTGAAGAAATCCAAACAATCATTAGGTCTTACTTCCAAAGCCTGTACTATACAACTTTGGATAATATAAATTAAATGGACAATTTTCTTGATAGATTCCATTTAACAAAGTTAAATCAAGATCGGATAAAAAAGTTAAATAGTACTACAAGCCCTAAGGAAATAGAAGCAGTCATTAAAAGTCTCCCATTCAAAAAAAATCCCAGGGCCAGATGGTTTCAATACAGAATTCTACC